CCCCACGCACGAAATTGCGCTGGCCTTGCCCGGCCCCAAACCGGGGGACCCAACAAGCCGGCAACTGCCAGAGAAGGCCAGGCCACCGGACAGCCCGGATTTGAACACAGATAATATGGCATTTGATATGTGACAGCTGCAGCCAGACGCTCGAACATTTCTGTGGCAACCAATTCCCCCATTTGCTGCTGCAGTGTAGACCACAGGAGTACGATCATGCCCCCCAGACAAATGTCCAGATCTGTCCGTAGTCCAGACATCTGGAAATCCCGACAGGCAGTGGACCACGGGACAGGACCGGACCCGGACCATCTGGACCGGTTCACCAGACCCTTAAAAGAAAAAGAAAAAGCAGGCCTATGGCCTGATAGTAGAATGTGATTCACCAATCACCAATCACCAATCAATCAATCAATCAATCAATCAGTTATCCCCAACCAATCAATCAATCAGTTATCCCCAACCAATCAATCTGCAGTGACCTGCCTCATATGCCTTGTGGAATGTCTAAGGGCCTTGCCAGGCCACAACCCGGCCTCAGGCCTAAGGGGCAAAAGACCCCCGAAGTGGTGCCAGGGCCCGAGTGCTTGACAGTTGACTTCAGTCAACTGCCTGAGGCCCAACAGTCAAAGCCAATATGGACCCAGCCCAGGCCGCCTGTCAGACGCACACACTTGTTTGTATGCAGGTACCAAGACAGCATTCGGACCAAGTGGCAGCCTGCAACTGTATGCGATCCAGGCCCTCGGCTGTGAGTCGATCTGAGCCGCCGTATGTGGGAGACCTGAGGCAGGTCAAGTCGGTCTATCACTACATAAGACCCTGCCTCCAGGGAGTCAACATTCGGTCTTGCTATGCTGACTTGACGCTGGCTCGACGCTAGCTGGACGCGGGCTTGACGCAGGCTGTGCGCTGGCACTATGGACGACGACGCGGGACTGAGGCGGCATCCTGGCGCCTTCTCTGCGGAGCGCCAGCCTCTGCTCCATTGCTGATGTGGTGCATGCCACTTGTCTCCATTGCTGATGTGGCGCATGCCACTTGTCTTCATCCCTGCTGTGGCATTGGCCACACTGTCTACATTGGGTGACTGGACGTGACAAGGAGGGAGATCGGGATCTGTGGATGATTGAGGAGGATCAGGATACTTACCTGAGGTTAATGTCGATATTGTGCGTTGTTGATCGTCTTCAATGTCTTCACGAGAGAACTGTGCCAAGTGGCGCTTCGATGTGTTCAGAACCTGTCGGACTCGTTACTGGATACTGTTTGCTGACGTGGAGGCGAGGGGAAGCGCGGAGGAGGAGTGGGAAGTGTTGGGCTACTCTCTTGGTGGTCATTGATGGTTATTATCTCTTCCACCCTCTAATCTGTCTATTTTTCCTTCTCTCTTCGTCTACTGGTAACGAGACATTGTATCAGAGATCACATTCATGATTATTGGAGGCAGTGTTCATATCGGTGTTATCTTCTATTTTGACGTCTGGCGAGTATCTTACAGACTGGGTTCATTACGATTTGGCATCGGAGCATACCTTCTTTGTTGCAATCTGCTGTCAGGTGCCACGGCGCGCCCAGGTAAGTGGGAGGCGCCGCACGTGCATGGGACGAAATGCGTTTAAACGCGCGCGATTAATATCGCAAGTCTAGACATTGAGTACCACACGTGTGTGCAGCCCCCTTGAAGATGATGACGTGGACACTTTGTAGAGCAAGACGGCGATATTGCTTACGTGGCGCTTTGTTGCTGATGTGACATTGAGATACCGGCGAGAGTATCGTTGGCAGGAGGCTGATGTGGCACTGGTAGACAAGAGAGAGAGAGAGAGAGAGAGAGAGAGAGAGAGAGAGAGAGAGAGAGAGAGTGGGTATTGGGACTGCTGATGTGGCGTGTTGCCTATGTGGCATGGTGCAGGGGTGCTGACGTGGCATCCCACTATTGGCAGGGCATTGTTTGACGTGGCACGCACCTGTGCTACGACTACCTGCTGACGAAGCGCTCCACACTTTTGATCTTACGTGGCATACCAGTGCTGGATGTGTTGGCAGTTCGTGCCTTGCTGATGTGGCATCCCTCCGGAAGGCCACACTGGCCATTGACGCTGACGTGGCAGACTCCTCGGAGTTGCTGTGTTGACATTCCAGGGGTGACACGTGGCAGACTTTGTGCGCTGCCGTGGGTGTGGTATTGATACTTGCACTCGTGTGCTGGCGGGCGGTACAGCTTCACGATTTGTTGTAGTGCCACGCGTCGGCCCTTGTGCAAGGAACATGAATATGGATGAAGCACAGAAATCCAGATTGCAAAATCACACTGAAGTCCAAGTAGTCAAAGCAAGAGCAGATAGTACAACCATCCATTTGAGA